AGGTGGGCGGCGCAGCCAGATCTCCTCGTGCAGGCTGCCCTGCAAAAAAGTTGTGCTAAAGTCGAGAGAGTGCAGCTCGTAGTCACGGTGAGCAGCAACGTGCAGCAGTACCCGAAGAGTGGTCATCTTCGGGGTGGGGGAGAAGGTCTCAAAGTAGTCAACTCCCTGCCGCTGACTGAAGCCACGAGCCACGTAACGCGCCTTGAAGACAGGCGGAGAACCCGGCGGCCGCTTCACCCTGAAGATCCACATGCCACTGTCGATGTTCGCCCCAGGAGGGGGGAGAGCGTCAACGTAGGTGCCTGTGGACTTCCAGGAAGCCATCTCTGCATCCATAGCTGCCTGCCACTGAGAGGAGTAAGGACCCTCTATCGCCTCCGCGTAAGAGCGCGAAGTCGGGATGTCAAGTGCATCCGGGTCTCCCTCAGGGGTAAGCAGTACGGACACGAGATTAAGTGAAGCAGCGGCCAAGCACTGGAACTCCTCCTGCCTGTCCTCAAGGACGTCCGTGCCAAGGGCACACTCACCCCCGACGGACGGAGGACAGACAGACTCAGACTCAGCGACAAGACTAGCAGCGTAGTCTAAGCGACAGCGAGCAGCAAAGTCGACGAGCTCAACAACTAGAGCAGACGCAGCACTAGACTCAAAAGAAGGGTCAGTGACGACAGTAGCAAGGAGACGCGTGACAGTAGGACTGGCAGCACGAAGAGAGTCCGACTCCGGGCCGGCAAGAGCAGGAAGAGAGGACTCACGAGGAGAAAGCAAAGGGGCACGGGCAAGGCCAGTGCCCTGAGGAAGGGGAGGGAGGGACCGGGGGAGACCAGACACAAGAAGACGGGAGGCCATGCCTCTAAGCCGAAGCATAGAGGGGTGGCCAAGGCGGTGGTGCCAGAGGAGAGTCTCGTGACACAGGAGACGACACGAACAAGGGGCAGACTCAGGACCAGACCTGGACGCCGCAGCAAACACCTGACCCGACGCAGCTACCCTACCAGACTCAGCAACTGGAGGAGACGCAGTGGTCAGAGTGTACAGGCTCGACCCCGGCTGACGGGTGAACGTAGCCAGGTGTCGGCCTGTGCTAGCCTCTGTGCAGTGTGTCTCTCGCTGACGCGTAGGAGTGAACTGGTGGACACCCGCATCCTGTAGGTCAGCACCACTCACCAGGTTCGTCGAGAACGAGGGGAGGTAGAGACCAGACAGGGTGCCAGAGGGAGCCGCCGGACACGGGAGGACTGTGGAGAAGCGAGACAGGACAGGACCCCTAGAGGGGTCAGCCAGAGACACCGCAACCGGCCGACTAAGCGACGTGAGTGTGGTGCGGTCCCGAAAGAAGGAACGAGACGCCCCAGAGTCAAGGGTGAAGGTGAGGGAGGCCGAAGCCGACGTAGTACCTAAGAGCGCAAACTCACCAGTACCTGAGGACGCAGACACACTAGCACCTAGAGCAGCAGCGTCGCAAGCACCTGGAGCAGCAACCGTACCAGTACCTAGAGCAGCAGTCTCAATGCCCGGATCGGGCGGGAAACACCGGTAACAGTCACCCTCATCATTAATAGACACAGCATACATGGCAGAGAAAATAGCATCAAAGTCAAGATCAAAGACGGCAACACCCGCCCTAGACAGTTCGCCCCAGCGAGGGATCTCTGAGGCCTCCGGGAACTGGTGGCGCCACGCGTCCGTCAGGCGGCCAAAGCAGCGCTGGGTGGGGTGCGCACCCCCACACTGCTCACCCGCACGGTCGCCGGTGCGCAGGACGTAGGTGCACGGACCAAAACCCCCACCCCGCTGGCGTGCAGTGTACCACTCACGGAGCTGCTGAGGGGACAGGGTCTCACGACCGCGCTGCTGCTGCTGGCGCGAGCCACCACCGGAGCCACTCCTCTGCGAAGACCCGCGACCAGCTCCACCGCCACCCCCACCTCCTCCGCCGCCTCCGCTGCCTCCACTGGTGCCGCCGCCTCCGCCGCCGCTTCCACCGCCGCCTCCTCCGCCACCTCCGCTCCCACCGCCACCGCCGCCGCCGCCTCCGCCTCCACTGCCGCCACCGACCCCTCCACCCCCACCTCCACTCCCACCGCCACCCCCACTCCCCCCGCCGCCTCCACCTCCACCTCCACCGCCCTCTCCTCCAGCTCCCTTGCCCCCCTTGCCCTTGCCAGGGCGGCGTCTCCCGCTAGAGGCAGACGCCGCACCGACCGACTCAAGACCAAGGAGGTCGGCCGCAGCAGCAGAGGCAACAGAGGGCAGCAGGGGGGAGGGAGAACACCCCTCAAAGATGGGGGTGCGCGAGTCACGTCAAGAGGCTCCTACAGCGACTATGCTCTTCTCTATCACGAGGAGGGCCTTCTCGAGGAGGTCTAAAGTGAGTATGGTGGGACAGACTGAGAGAAAGTGGTCCCTGACTACTCGAAGGGAGTCAGGGAGGCGAGTGACTAGGAAGTACAGAGTGATGTATATTGGGGGGGGTTTCGCGGCGCAGAAGTCAGCAGGAAGTGCAGCGCGGTAGCGAGTGTCACTAGTGCGGAGGTGCGTAATGAGGTCAGCTACGGTGGGAAAGGCAGCAAGGTTAGGGAAGAGGTACGGTAGCATGAGACGGATCAGTGCAGCAGTGGCAGGGGAGGAGTAGCGCGCGACTACAGCATCATACAAGGTCTGAGCACTCTTGTACTGACTAAAGTGCGCACGCTCGGAGGTAGGGAGGTGGCGACGCACAGCTAGACGTGCAGCAGCGTCGCGCGTGGCCCACTGGGAGCGAACAGTGGCGTCAGCATCAGCAGCAGGGGCAGGGGAAGCGCCAGAGGTAAGGTCAAACAGAGAGAGGCCGTCTGCCCTATCGCACTGTAAGAACAGCTGCAGGTCGTCTACCCAGACCTCAAAGTCAATGGCCCGACCCTCAGCGTCAAAAGTGAGGACACTGGGGGTAGCCATGACGACAGACGACTAGCAGTGCAAACAGTAGGGTGAGGGAAGTACAGGAGGAAAGGGCGCTGTGCTCACCAGACTGGGCAGCTCGGGCGGCTCTGCGGCTCTGCGGCTCGTCTGGTGGGCGGCTCGGCGGCTCGGCTGCTGGGCGGCTCGGCGGCTCGGCTGCTGGGCGGCTCGGCTGGTGGGCGGCTCGGCGGCTCGGCTGCTCGGCTGCTGGGCGGCTCGGCTGCTGGGCGGCTCGGGTGCTGGGCGGCTCGGCTGCTGGGCGGCTCGTCTGCTGGGCGGCTCGGCTGCTTGGGCGGCTCGGCGGCTCGGGCGACTCGGCGGCCAGGCGGCTCAGTGGGTCTGTCGCTGGGCGGTCGGTGGCGCAGGTAGGGCGGCGGGTCGGCCGCAGGTGGGGCGGCGGGTCGGCCGCAGGTAGGGCGGCGGGTCGGCCGCTAGTAGGGCGGCGGGTCGGCCGCAGGTAGGGCGGCGGGTCAACAGCTAGTAGGGCGGCGGGTCGGCCGCAGGTAGGGCGGCGGATCGGCCGCTAGTAGGGCGGCGGGTCGGCCGTAGATAGGGCGGCGGGTCGGCCGCAGGTAGGGCGGCGGGTCGGCCTCAGGTAGGGCGGCGGGTCGGCCGCTAGTAGGGCGGCGGATCGGCCTCAGGTGGGGCGGCGGATCGGCCGCTAGTAGGGCGGCGGGCCGGCCGCAGGTAGGGCGGCGGGACGGCCGCAGGTAGGGCGGCGGGTCAGCCGCAGGTTGGGCAGCGGGTCGGCCGCAGGTAGGGCGGCGGCGGGCCGGGGTAAGGGTGGCGACGGGCCGGGGTAAGGGCGGCGACGGGCCGGGACAGGCGGCGCGAGGGCGGCGTCGGGCCGGGACGGCTGCGCGGGGCCAGGACGGGCGGCGCGAGGGCGGCGTCGGGCCGGGACGGGCGGCGCGGGGCCGGGACGGGCGGCGCGAGGGCGGCGTCGGGGCCGGGACGGGCGGCGCGAGGGCGGCGTCGGGCCGGGACGGGCGGCGCGGGGCCGGGACGGGCGGCGCGGGGTCGGGACGGGCGGCGCGGGGCCGGGACGGGCGGCGCGAGCCGCAGTGAAGGGGCGGTGCGAGCCGCAGCAAAGGGCGGCGGGGCCGCAGATAGGGCGTGGGGAGGCCGCTAGGGCGGCTCGACGACGTAAGAGCCCGGAGCGCGACTCGGGCTGAGCGCGCTTCGGGCAGGAAAAAAAAATCGATGTGGTGGGCCCTAGGCAAAGTTCCCACGGGGGAACCTGCTCGATACCATGAGGAAATTAGAACGAGAATGAATGAACTATGAAATGAGTGAGTACAAGTACTAACCCTAATTGGGTTGTACCCCCTATGGGATACCCCACTATAGCCTACACAAATGTATAAGCTATATAATGTTCTGACGGTTACCCCAAACAAGTTGGAAAGCTTTTGATTTTCGCTCAGAGTTTCTTTCTGTTTTCATCTAGCCTTTCCCCTACCGTATTGGCCTTGTGAAGGAATGCCTCGCGATGGAGCCCTTGGGGTCGGTATCTGCTTGCTTTTCCTTTTTTCCCTTTGTGTTCTAAGAAGGCTCAAAGAGCCGAAACTGGTTACCTCCAACGGTTTTTTCAAGCAAGCATACACAACAAAAACTCTGCAACCAAACGCTTCTGCCACGTAAAATCATGTCTCCTGCGTGGGGCTCCCTCACCTCAGGGTCTATCCTCGAGGCGCCTCTCAAGTTGCCTCTTGTTTTGCTTACCTTGCGGGTCTCATCAGGCCAAGGTGGCTGACTTTGGACTGGTGCGGGTGGGGGAGGGCACTGCACTGGGCTCAACACGAGTGCTAGGAACGGCGGGCTATGTGGACCCGGCATACTCCAGAACACACAACGTCACCACTGCTGCTTATGTGTACAGGTGCCATGTCAATGCGTTCAGGATGCAATGCTGATGTGTACAGGTGTCGTGTCGATGTGTGCAGGTGCAATGCTGATGTGTACAGGTGCCATGCCGATGTGTGCAGGTGTCATGCTCGTAGGTCCTCAATTTCCCCCAATTTCTCTTGCTTCATTATTTTCTTCGTCTTTCTTTGGCTATGCTTGCGCTCCATAGGTTTCACCTTGCAAATTTCGCTCCGCTCTCCAAACTTTGCGTGCACTCCGTGTTGTTTGTTTCCTCCAGCTTTGGCATTGTGACGCTGGTGATGCTGTCAGGCAGAGGGGCCACGGTCACTGAGATGAACCCGGGCAGTGAGCTGGACGAAACCGAGTACAACGAGCCAATCTCCATCTCCAAATGGGTATGTCCCTTGCTGTCTTTTATATGCAGTTGTCTACCCTGCAGCCTCTGAGAACTTCAGGGCTCTTCTTCTTGTCCGCTCCTTGTGCCCACTGTGTATTTGTTTCTGACTGCACCTAACAGGCAAGCACACTCGTGGCTAGTGGGAAGACATCACTCCTCAGAGACCCGCGCATGGAAGCACCAGGTGACATCATCGAGCGCCTTGCCCGCCTCGCTGTGAGCTGCACTGCCATGCCCACTGCCTCCCGCCCCTCCATGTCCCGAGTGGCTCAAGAGTTGGAGGCACTGAGGGGAGAAGTGGGAGGGGGGGATGTGAGAGCAAGCGCTGCAGCAAGGGTAGATGAGATGCTGGTGGGTCAGCAACCTGTGAGGAGCATGGAGGAGGATCTGGCGTTGCTGGAACAACACTATGCTGGCCAGGGCAAAACCACAGCTAACGTCACAAGTCATCAGAGGAGCACAGGCTCTAGTGGGAAGGAAGATTAAGGGCTGTTACGGTGATGGTCAGTGGTTGAGGGGATTGCTCTTTGTAGAATTGTATTAGCCAGCAGGTCCAGCTGTATGACCAGTTGTTGCTTTGCCGATCTTCGATTTATTAAACTTGCCAAATCTGCCTGAGAGGTCCTCCTTGGCCGAGGTAAGGCATTTGATCCTAGGCCCCATCCTCATTGTACCGTAATTTCCCGGATCAAAGGCCCAGGGGACTTCCTAGAAATTCAACACGACACGTTTGGGAGCAGTACCGTAATACCCCAGATATAAGCGGACCTGCGCTTATAATAAAACATTGTTTTTTGGGGGGGTGCACTTACAATTGAGTCTGATTTATAAGTGCATGCGCTTGTATGAAGGATAAAATGAAAATCAATTTTAAACACACCATTATGAAGCTCTCAATAAGGCAAATTCAACCGACCATGCACCAAGTGGGACCGTGCATGGTTTTCAGGCAGAAACCGCAGCGGTTCGGTTTCCCACCGCACAATGATGTCTGGAAACATCGAATGTGACAGCCGTGACGAGGATGTTGCTGTGCGGCCCAATCAGAGCCGCATGCGCTGCGTGGCATGTGCATTCGGGCAGAACCATCTCGAAGGTTCGGCAAGATTCCCTGCAGGGCTCTTGCTAGGATTTGGGCCTGTCTGACATACCTAAGTAAAAAAACCGTTCCGTCTGATGTTCAGACGGGCATATTTTTTTGGTCTGATTTTTTGGACGAATGTTAAAGCTTAGTCTGATTCTTCATACGATTCAATTCAGGGTCCTTGTTATCAGACCAAATTGGTCTGATGGTCTGAAAATCAGACCTACCTTTTCTATTTCATCTGATTTTGAAGACAAGCAATTTTAGTTCGTCTGATCCATAAGACCATAAATTTTATTTCGTCTGGAAAATCATACTCGGCGTTATACTTCATCTGAAAAAACAGATAATGCGTACATTTTCGTCTGACACCAAAGTACCTAGTGCTTCGAGGAAATGACGAACCGCGGTGCTTGTTCGTCTCCAATTCCAACGGGCAGTGGTTTTCCCACTACCCCCCCCACGCGACCGCGCCCGATTCCCGCGGTCAGTTTTCCCCATCAATACTGAATTTTAATGAATTTGTGGTTTTTTACGAGTTTTGAAATGGCCGATGGTTTCTGCCCGTGGCGACTATTCCAACTGAACTTCGTGACCCATCATTACGCCGCCCAGGATACTTTCGGAACAGTCTGGGCCAATGATTACAAGTAGATTCTATCCTTCGATCACAGAATCACTGTACATTTTAAATGGGCCCTCAATTTTCCCGCCACTCATGTTCGACGCATGGTCAGTGAATCACACGTGAAACACTTCAAACTTTCCACACCGAACAATTTCGCGCGCGCAGCCAATTCACCGCCAGAAATTACAATCACGCCACCGTCGTGGCCCCAGAGAGGTCTCACAAAGGGCCCGTGAAGCACTGCTGGATGTCCAAATCGCTGACTCTGACGAGCCCGCACAGTTTGGCGCCTTGGAAATTTCATGCGCCCCACCTTTCCTCCCCGAATTAACTGCTGTTCAATCATCAACGTACAGTGGTGTTTACACGGTACCATCGTCAAGAGCATGTTACTGGGTAGGTTTCTAAGTTGTTTAAGTATGCCTTGCCAGTACCGACCATTGGCATTAGATGTGACGATTTACTCCAACACCCAGCAAGAACCATGTCGGTACCACCTCATAGCCCCGATCGTATAGCGAATAGTATTTTAGAGGCAATGCGAAACGTCCCCCCCGTTCCGGAAGCACAACCAGAAGCCCCTAGAGATAATGCCCCCCTGACACAAGGTGCAATATACTCCTCGAGGGGTGTGGCACTAAAGGCGGTGCAAGCCTTCGCGTTGCGGCACCGTTTTGGATTCGGGACTGTCGAGGTGGCGGATGCCCACGTGATACTCCAATGCAAAACCGCCATGCATGGAGTACTGCCCATCTGCCCTTGGGAATGCAGTTACAGTAAGGTTGTACATGGCGGATTCTGGGAAGTGACGTCGCTTTCCCCCCCTGAAGCTCACATCTGCAGCAAGTACAAGCGAGAGCAAGGAGCAAACGCCATCGCCAACAGCATCAAGGTCATGAAGCGGCAATGGGGCAACCTTGTTCGTGGCGCACCTTTCATTTCTGCGAAGACCTTGCAGCAGATTCTCTCGTCACACAGCAAGTTTGTCATCAGTTACAAGCAGGCGTGGCGGCTCCGTGAGGCAATCCAGAAGGAAATGTACGGCGATTGGCAGGAGTCGTTCAGGTTGCTCCCGGAGTTGGCTCGCAGGTTCGAGCAGAACGATCCGGGTGGAATGTTCAAGATTCAAACGGTCGACGGATGCTTCCATCGGATGTACATTCAGCCGTCCGCATCTCGCGGTGCGCTTGGTTTTTGCCGCCCCGTTGTTGCACTAGACGGGACCTTCCTAATCAGTGCTCAACGCGCAACCCTGCTCATTGCCATGGCACTAAACGGCAACCAGAAGATTCTGATGCTGGCGTGGGCTTTGGTCGAAGGAGAGAACAAAGACTCGTGGTCCTGGTTCCTGCAACACTTTATGGAGAGCTTCCCGGAGTGGCCGCACCGTGACGATGCATCAATTATCAGCGATCGCGACAAGGGCCTGATTCCTGCTGCACGAGATGTACTCCCGGCTGGCATACCTCATTACTTTTGTGCTTGGCATCTCCACCAGAATGTTGTGAAGTTTGGAGAGGCTGCTGCTCTTTTTTTTTTGGCGTCTTGTGAAGTGCATGGACGACGACAAATGGGACGCATTGGTTTCAGCCGGCCGCCGTGACTTCAAGGAAATGATGAACTATCTCCTCGGCGACGAGAAGCCTATCTCGGGTCAAGCTCCGGCAGATGCTGCACAGCAGCAACGTCCCGCCCCCACTACAGCGGCTGAAGCACGTCAACAAGCTGCACAGAACCGTCGCCAGGGTCGTGAAGCAGCGCGTTCCGCCAGGGGTTTAGGGACCACATCACGTGCGCGTGGGCGTGGGGCGGGTGACGCGAGCGGGCCGGGAGCCACACCTCCCGAACCAGGGCATGCACCTACCGCAGGCAGTTCTGCCCCGACGGCTCCGCCGCCTGACCCCCCAGCCACAAACGAGCCGCCCAGTCGTCCCTCGGGCTCGACTCCTGCTGCTTCACGTCCATTCGACTATAATCGCATCCTGCGACGCGTAAGGACAGGTTACATCCCCAGCAGCATCCGGACGGACCCGCCACGTGCAACAGCATCAAGCGGAAACTCGGGCCAGGGGGGAGACGAGCATGCTGGGGGAAATACCTGCCAGGCACTGGTCGTTGTCAGTCTGGATCACCCGTGGCCGGATGTCGGTAGTGGCAACCCCCGTGTGAGGGTTGAAGCCGACTTTGAGGAGGACGAAGTGGAGGAGGCGGATGCAGAGGAGGCAGAGGCAGATGCTGCGGCTGACCCAGCTGCAACAGAAGGGAACCAGGCGGGGGCAGACGAGAACGCCGATGATGACACGGCTGAGGCCGGTGTCGCGAATGGGGAGCACACTGCACGCGTGAGGACAGGGTTTAGGCAGAACAAGCGGGGTACGAGGAAGAAGCTGGGCATCAACCTCGTCCACTGGACTCGCATTAAGGCCCCAACCCGTCGCTTTGGGATCTTTACGAGCAACGCCGCAGAGCAGGTCAACAGCTCAATCGTGCCCATTCGTCGCTTGCCGGTATGCCCTCTGCTCGGGGGTCTCTGGGACTGGTATCGTAATAGGTATTGTAAACGCAAAATGGCTGCGCGTGAGAGAACTGCTCTACTCACCGAAGCTGCAGAGGAGCGGATGGTAGACAAGGAGACCCGGGCGGAGGGGTATGAGCTATTGGGCGGGGATCTTGAGGAAGGAACCATCCAGACCAGGGACACCGACGATCCCAAGGAATGGAGGTCCTTCAACGTCAACATCAACAGCGAAGTGAGGACATGCGACTGCTCGAACTGGGACCAGTACCAGTTTCCTGCTCCCATGCCGTGGCCTTTGCTCTGAAGCGAAAGCTTGACCCGCGCAGCCTTGTCTCTGACTACTACACCACGAAGAACTGGGCGGAGACTTATTCTTCAACGGTGCAGGGTTCCTGTGTGGACCGCATCGTCCTTGGGAGGAAACTGGCCGCAACAGGCCAGTGCGATGCTCCACCCTTTCGGCGCACGGTTGCCGGCCGCCCGCCGAGCTACGCTCGCGTCGAGAAGGCTGTGCATCCGTACAAGTGCAGCGTTTGCCATCTCCACGGTCACACAAAGAACCGCTGCATGGGCAAGTATGGTGGGAGCGCATACCCGGAGAAGAGGAGGCTCCGTAACCGCCCTAAGGCCCGTAAATCCTATCGCGAGTCGGCACCTTTTGCGGGCACTATTTGAGAAATGTGGGGATTCACGGTATATTGTAGTTTCTACATGGGTTAGTGGCAGCGCAATGGGTGGGGGCAAGTATTAAGAATACTGGGCGGGTTTAGGGGATGAGGTCGGTAGACCCGGATCAGGACTTCAATAGTATATAGTAGTCGGTTTAGTGTAGGCCACATTGTCACCTTAGCATACAGAAATAATGTGCAGATTACTGCTCGGAGGTTTAGCAAAGCCCTTCTTCCATTGGGAAAACATTGCCCATGAGTCATTCACCGTGGGCAAGTCACACTCTAGTGAAGGGTACGTGGAGTGTAGTAAAGGAGTGCTGGGCACCTAGTGAAACCCCCGTGAAATCTTCACCCAGTACCGTCCACTTACTTCGCCACGCCATCGCGACTGAATGGTCAACAATCAGTCAGATTTTTTAAATTGTTTGATGTGGTTTCTTCAATTTACGGAGCGACGTCTGATGGCGCAGTCTTCGGAGGCGGCTCTGACACTACATTGCTCGTGAATCGCTAGTTGATGGCCCGCGAACAAGGTATGAGAACTTCGTGAAGGTCCGGTTCCTAGTGCCCGTTAGAAACCCTTCAAGAACCCGTCAACCCTCAGTGAAATATATGCTAAAGGCCAGCACAGCCGGGAGTCAACCATCCGTGGCTCGTGGTTTCTTATTGATGAGCATCTCGTCAGCCCCTCACCCAAACCCTATCACTCCTCACGAGCTCGGCAGGTGGGTTGCGCGGAAGACGTTTCATTACCGTACGGCTATTCACCCTTTTCATGTTCAGATCACTGTGTATATGTGGTTTGCCCCTAGGCAGGTCGCTGTCACGGAAGGAGTTTGGTTTTGACCGGATTTGTCATTTAAGTGTAATGCGAAGGAATTGGCTATGTCTCCTCGAGGAATTTGAACATCACGCGTGAAATTCACACTTTGTGATTAGTACGCACTTTGGATTCTGTCATCAGATTACTCTAGTAATCTTGTAACATCGATGTCGGGCAGGCTACTTAACGGTAACCGCGTCTGGCAGTGAGCGTGATCCTAGTGGGATTTTACCCGGGATTCACACGTGTTTATGGTGTGTTTTAAGTGACTATCGCGTGATGAACTCACAGAATCTGCTCCAACTGCGTTCGAAAGTACCATCAATCGCCAGTGATCCAATAGTGAAATCCATGTGAGAAATTCACTTAAGGGCCACTCTCGTTCTAAAAACGTTGCAGCTACTATGAATACACCAACACTGGTCCTCGAATACAGTACACGGACCAGCCAATACTATGAAGAGCTAGTAAGTAATATGTGAAGCATGACCCATTGTCCCAACGACTTTTTATGCGTGCGGGGACGCCAAGGCAGTATTGCTTGTCAGTACTGCACAACAACGTGTTGCGCGTATTACCAGAAGTAACATACAATGGAAGAAAACCTTGGGTGTTATGCGCCACTGATCCCATGCGCCACCAAACACAACAGAGGTTTGGCACCAAAAGCACGGTAAACAGCCAGGTGCCAACGGCCAGAGCACCAGGGATTGATGAAGTCCCTCTGGCTACTCTTGGGACTGTCTCCTTCGCTTTGACTTACACTGGGGACGCGAATGAGACGAGGGATCCGACTTCCACGACACCGTATCTGCTGCCCTCCGTCCCTCAATCTTACTTTGGCATTCAGGCCAAGCCTCCCTCCAATTCTCCCACCTGTGCCATAACTTGTTGCGGCAGGTGTCCTTAGGACAGTCATTCAACCGGTTCTTATCTTCAAGCGACAGGCCTATCACGAGCCCACGGGGTCCATTGTGCGGCCCAAATAGCACATGTGACCCGGCAGCAAGTGCTCTCGCCGCCTCTTCCTCACCTGAAAACTGGCTACCAATAACGACGTGCCCGTCCTTCTCCCGATCGCACACTAGTCTAGCAACCCATCTCCTATTCCATGGCCTTTGGGTAATACCTACGAATCTCCCCTTGATCTCCTTGCGCTTCTTTCCCGAAGACTCCTTCGCATCCTTCAGCCGTGTCACAGAGCCACCTCGGATGACTTCACCACGGTCTTCCACAACCGTCGTCGCGTCATGCAAGCGGGATGAACCGCCCGGGTTCTGTAGCGCTGACATCGCTGAGGCCATGTTGTCGCATATGTCTTGTGTCTTCACAACCAACTGCTTTCCTGCATCCGTGTAGCCTTCTACATCGGATAGGCGACTCGCGTGACTGCGTAATTCAGCGGCCATGGTTCTCATCGCCGAAATGTTGTCCAAGATGGGCTGCACCGTGTGGATGGGCTCATTTCGCGGGGCCTGCTGGTCAAGTGGCGGTAATGACACAGTTCTGTTCTGCAACTTCACGCCAAGCGTTAGCTCTCCAGCATCACACATCAAGGATCGAATGGCGCGCCGATAGGTCAGAATGCTGTACGAGGGTGATGGGATGCCAAGCTCGAGGTTACTGAATGACCGGGCGACGAGTATAGTCATGAAATAGCACAAGAAGACGCCCGAGCCAACGCCGTTATCCTGTTGTGGTACTTGGCTAGCCTGCACATGTAAACCAAACACACGGTGTCAATATACCCATGGGTGGTCCAAATGAGGCAGGCATGCCGGATCCATTGGTCACTCATTTGCAACATGACGGTTCACTTACGAGCAGTGCCCGGCTGCGGATTCGTCGGAGACGATTGGTCACCTCGGTCGCACTGAGCCCGGGCCTCGCCTGTGTCAGCGCCGCTCCCAATAGCCTGCAGTCGCGTGCAAGGTAATAGGTTGATTCATGGTCTTAGGGGTTCTGTATGTGTCCCCATTTCAAACGACGCGCAATGGTGGACTCGTGGTATTAGGGGGTCCGGTCTCACCAGTTGATGTGTCGGAAGACACTTCTTGACATCGCGGCGTTATAGCGAGTGGAGTCGAAGAGCACAACCTGCGGACCCTCAGCGCCCAGCACTCCAAGCTCTTCGTCTGTCTTCAACAGCAACCCAGGGTCCTTCACGACGACCAGGCTTGCGTGTTTGGGACCTGGGATCCTGAGACACCTGGTCAAGCCACTGAAACATGTGAATACATGCGTTCAGTCATGACCCATGACTGCAAACGCACCGCTACTTACTGGGTTGATACCACTATGCATACGTAGTCAAATTTGAACAGGGACTCGCTGTTGATTCCGCAATCGAGATGCTCGTTAACAGCCGATCGGTACGCTGAACACGACAGTGCAACCCACGTTCTCCCCGTGGGTAGTTGCGGATGGAGTACACTGAGAACGCTGCACAAAGTTGGAAAAATACATTAGCCCCTCCTTATTATGCAAACACATCAGTACGGAAGCGTGTAGAGTACTCACACGCTGTGGAAGTCAATGGTACTAGCCGGAATCTCCACACCGTCTCGTATGCCAAGAGCATCAACCATCTGCACCGTAGCTCTCTGCCCAATATGATTCGTGATCGATGGCGTTGGAAAGTGCTCGCTAGTCATCGTCGGCTGAATTACTACGCTACCATCTGACGGCCCAGGCACGGCTTTTGCGAAATGGGACACGACGTCGTCGGGTTCGGACAGCCTCTCCTCCACGTCTACCGTTACGGGGACCTCAAATGTAAGTACACGCGAGCACGACTTCTTGGACGCGACGACATCACGTATGGCCCCACTCAACCAAGGGCTTTTCCGTGAAGCCATGTCACGGTTCAATGGGGAGATGTTATTAGCGAGAACAACCACTAAATGCTTATGTTATAGGCCTTGGCCTTGTTACTCAACTACTGGTGGTGTGGATGTGAGAGGTGAAAGAGTCGCGAACCTCTGGTGGGATAAATGACGAGACGTTCACCACATACTTGTGATGTGACAGCGACACACGATATTAGGTGCAGTAACGTTACGACCAAACCTGTCCGTACGGCCACCTGGCAACCTCTATTAGGTCCGGGGTTACGCCGATATCCTCAGAGATGTGAGATATAGATGTCAATCCCCATCACGAGGGATTGACGAGGTACTATTTTAGATCTGCTTCTGTCGCTATACGCGACATTAGTGGTTATTTGCGTTCAGATTAAGGACGCGACTAAATAATTATGCATTCTCATAACGACAAGGAAGAAGGTTCGCCCACTCTCGCATAATCTTAATTTGGATGATCGGAGAAAAAAATGAGTGTACTTACGAGAATAAAAAGTTGAAGCTTTGATGTGCACTGTTACTCGCTGCTAAGCGATGCAAGATGTAACGCTATTGGCTGCAATGTATCAGAGTTGACAAATAGAGACATTATTAGACAACGCGACACTGGGCAACTACAGGTGATAGGTTTTAGACTGGAACAGTTATCATAACTACAAACTATTGGTCACTACATGTTTGATAGCCTACGCGATCCAGCGTTGATGTCTTTGATACAATAGCCTAATCTGAAGATAGAGGTGTGGTTGGAATGGGTGTCTGTGTTGGATGGGTGTCCGTGTTATTTATCGGACATTTGTCATTGATTACAGGCACAGTTGTTAGTGGTCCGCTGGTGATCCTCGATTGATCATACGGAAGGGTTACAGCCACATCAATAGCCTGGAAGTTTTGTGCCATGATATCTTCATATGCCTTGAACTCTTAATAAAGCCTTGTATATAATTTACTAAGCTTCCCATCATACACAAACACGCCGAGCGCATAGGTATAATTTAAACCCTAAACCCTAGGTTGACGTATGTCTACGGTTCATGCGTTGAAACAAATGTATGGGAGGCGCATAGAAGGTCTGCAATACTGATCCATGAGACAAGTCAGCACTCATCCTTGGGTCGATCCCTTACTGATCGTAACAAAGAACGTTACTAGTCGATAGAGCCTTTGGCTCACTAATGTGCAAGGCAGGGGTTATTGTTATTTACATATGTAGCATGTACTTGGATGGCTATGTGCTGGCCCATGTGGTCGATCAAATACGTTGCAAGACTAATTTTGAATGTACTTATTTAGCCTGTTGAGATTACTAAACACACCAATTATTATTCCCTGCTACGTATTTGATGTTTCCATTAGATGAAAATAGAAACCCTGTTGGAGCTGGGCCTTCAGAGTCGTTGGCGATTATCACGTGAAGCCTAAAGCGAATAAGCAACGGCTGCAACTAACATCGTGGGGACAACTTTGTGACGAATCAACTAAGCCCGCCTAAGGGTTTCACGAGCATTTTACTCTCGTATTGCAGTGGTTAGATTTCAGCGTTACTCTCCACGAGATCAACACTTGTCATTCACTGTTTAGGTACTACGTGTCTACTAGGGTTTGGGACGAGTCATTCTGATACGTGGAGGTCTCCGAAACCACGATATGAAGGAATGGTGATTGTGAGGCGAAAGAGTCACGATGCATCCACTTCACGATCGCCCGACGCAAATGGATGGTACTCCTGCGTATTGGAATCTTGGTGAGCATCTCGTGAGTCCCTCAACCAGCCCCTATTACTCCGACGTATTACACAGTTGGGCATTGCGGAACACCCTTCACCCGTGTGGATATTAACCCTAGCGAGGGGCATAGTAGAGTTTTGTTTGGGATTTCCCCACGTGTTATAATCATTTTTTATCCCCCGTAAATTGTATTGGTGTCTAGTAATACGTAAGGTATAGGGCTACGTATTGACCAAAATGCACAGTTGATTGGAACACATGGGTAAACTTGATCTTCACGCTTAGGGGTTCACGTGAGTTTTACTCGTGTTTCACTAATACGTGGCGAGCGTACCGTTCCGCCAAACCGACCAATGATGACTGTACAGCCTGTGCCTCGTGGGCTGTTCACGCAATGCAGACTGCGCAGTTCCGGGTCGGTGGTGTGTCCGCGGTGAGTGTCGCGTGAGGCACTTACATCGACAGAGCTTTGCCCCACAATCCTGTGACTAGGGGCTGACGGACCACACACAGCTGCTTTGCGGAATGTTGTTCGGGCTTTGTCCAATGACTAATGCACGTTACTAGCCCCTAAACCCTGATGTGATGATTTTAATACAATGAAGTCCTCTATCATGTTTGTATAGTACATGTAACGAGCCCATACCGTTGTATAATGCCACAATATGCAAGATGATGGCAACCACTACTACATGGGGCTTGGTCAACCTCTGGTGCAGATCCAATAGCGATCCAATGGTGAATTGGATCTTGAAGCAGAACGTATGCGCCAACACTATAGATTGTCAATTGAAGCATCAGATGCACTGTGCGTGCATTATGCTACTTAGAGCTACATGATCAAAGTGAACCCACAAAAAGGGTAGAAGCACACTCACGTTGCACGATGAGGGAGTTATCCCTAAAAGGCACGAACTAACCATCCTTAGATCCCGACCCCTCCTGGTGAGATGCATACTCATGCCCAGAATTTCCACCAGCTTGCATTCGGGCGATTTTCTCGGCGCGAGCATTTGCTTCATCCAAGCTGGCTTTAATTGCAGCTCTCTTCTTTTCGTCCCTGCGCGTTTTCTCGTCCCACTTTGCCTTCGCTGCAGGCCAATACTTCCTCCACTCCTCCCACATGTGCCAGAACTTCATGCGGACCATCACCTCACACTGGTGTGCAGAACAATCGCTGAGCTTCGCCTTGTCGGCGGCGGTCAAGAGAATGAGCTCCCCACGCGTTGGCTTGTCAACGAACATCACGTCCGACGCTGCGGCTATCGACCTTGCCGCCTCTTCCTCCGTTCCAAAGTGGCTGTTGATGACGATCAGCGACTGAGATGCGCGGTCTAGGACGATCCTGGCGATCCACTCGTCCTTATCCAGCTTCTTTGTGACGCCCGTCCACCCCCTTTTGCCGGGCACCTCACCGATCTCCCCTCCCTGGGTCGCGGGCGCCATAGATGAGGAGGCTGCAGGTGAGGGCAGTACATGTTGGGACCCCTGCATAAAACCGGGGAGCATGCTCGATAAACCGCGACCCTGAGACGCGGTTGTGTGACCTGGTTGGATGTTGGTATCGTCGAGCACCTCATCAGAGGCGAGGAAAGGAGCAGAAGGATGCAGCGGGGGACGAAGCGTCGAAAAGGGCAGTTGCAGTAAGTCGCTTGGCTGTATAGTACCGGGGTAAACCACGCTGGGAGGTTGATGTGCATGGCCAATCGGCCATGAATGTGCGGCGGATGAGGTGGCCACCTGCTGAATAGCGCCTGCAATCTGCGCAAACCCCACCGCAGATGGTGCGCGTACACCCTGCATATGCGCCCCTGGGTGAAAGGCAGATGGGGCAAAGAACTGTTCCCCCGAAGACCATACAGAAGAAGCCCTTTGAACATCAGGTGCCCTTGCAGTGCCTGCCGCCAAAACCGACCATTGAGCACCCTGGACCTCGGCTGCTGAAACCCCTAAACCCGCGGCGCCAGTCGGAACACCGGATGCTGCCGTTGCGTGACCGGCCAATGCCGTCGGAACACCGGTTGCTGGACCTGCATGACCTGCGGCTACAGTTGGGAAACTGACGGCTGCACCTGTATGGCCCGTAGATGCGGTAGGAATGAAGGCTGCTGCACCTGTCTGACCAGTCGGTACGGTAGGAACACTGCCTGCTGCAAGAAGTGCACCTCGCAGACTTGATGCCGCTCCTGGCATACCTGATGCTGCACCAGGCTGTCCAACCCCTTGTGTCGAAGCACCGGCAGAGGCACCTGGCTGCCGCCGAGCAGATGGAAAAGCACCATCAGGTGCACCTGCCTGCGCCGCTGAAGCTCGCTGAGCACCTTCACCGTTCCTTGCCAGGCCACCTGCTGCTGTAGTAACACCTGCTGCAGAAACCGGCTGACCTTGCGTGGTGCTAGATGGGACGGCCGCGAGACCAGAGTGACCCGCCTCGGACTTGTGTGCACCGGGTGTGGCACCCTGGCCTTGGACAGTACATGGCGTCGTCGCGCAAAATGTTGGGCGCGCATGTGACGGAGCGGTGGTGGAAGCGTGGGGAACAGCGATCATGTTCACCGGAGCTTCCAATGATGCTGCGGGCGTACGATGGGGCGGAGGGGCTGCAGCGGTAGAGGTGGTGGGTTCGTCGCTGTTCAAAACCTCCACTAAACCCGTCGGCAGCTTGAACCCTGTCTTGGCAGCCATCCCCTGGACGGCCGTGCAGAGTGACGACAAGATACCCATCACTTTGTCGAGTCCCTTTTCTCCACTGTAAACGGAGTCTTTCAGAGACTCCATGTCTTCATGCAGGCCCTTGAGCTGTGCAGCATGAGACAACTGCTCCGCCGCCAAATCCTGGATGGTTGGCTCCTTTATCTCCTCAACTCCGCCCTCGCTATCACTCTCGTCCCCCCCGTGCTGATCACTCTGTGGGGGAATGTCGGCCCCCTTCAGTGCCAGCGATTCCAGCAGTGTACCTGCACCAGCCTCGCACATCAGATCCCGAATTTTGCGCCTGCATTTGGCAGCACTGTAACGAGGATGATTGATCCCTTCTTCCAGGCATTCGAAAGCTTGGCCCACAAGCTCCTTGGAGAACATACAGACGTAGACCCCGCAGTCCACACTGTTCTGTTGCTGGGGTACCTCGAAGTACTGCAGTACAAAACATAAGAGTAGTATCAAACACAGAGTAGACATGCGTGGTAAACCGAGTCCCGCATGTCTGTTGCATCAGGGCAGTAAACACGAGTGTGGCATACTCACTTCAAGTGCACGGCTGCTCACGCGTGAGACCCTCTCTGTCACAACCACCCACGGCATATCAGGGTTGGCCTTTTTAAGGGCCCTCATAAGCAGCCTGCGGAGGCATAACGAGAGAAAGGGGATCATGAAAGCGAGGAGTAGGCGTGGTGTTGAAAACCGGTGTCACGCCACAACGAAAGAAGAATCACGATGAACTCATTCGTTGATGTTTGTGAATATTGCCTCGCACATGTCATAGTGCACGCGCGCGGAGTCGTACAGTACAGCTTTTACGGGTACTCGTGGCTTCAATGCATCGTATTCCTCCTGACTAAGCAGCAGCAGACGGGGGTCCTTGACAACGACCAGGCTGAAATGATGAATAGGAACTCTGCAAACAAACATTAAGCCCGGGAAGTATGGTTAGGCATGACACGGAGTGGTAAAGCCGGTTCTGGAATACTATCTCCATGACTTCCATAATGTCAGAAACTCTTACTTGGTGAAAACCACGATGCAAAGGTAGTCGTGCTCGAAGAGAAGTTTGCAGTCGACGCCGCATGCTAGCTCGTGTCCCCCGGTGACGGTTTGGTAGGCGAGCGTGTCAAGAGCCAACCAAGTTTTCCCGTCATGTAACTTCTTGTGATAAAGGCTCAAAACCCTGGAAGAATACGTACAATACACGTCATGTACACGATGAAGAGGATTAAGTAAAACGAGGCACACGCTGAACGTGACTCACACGTGGTAAAAGTCGATGGTTGACGTTGTCAGCTCGTATCCATCCTGTATGTGGAGGGCATCCATCATAGTCACCTTCGCTCGCTGGTCGTGATGGTTTTTAATCTCACGGGAGGGGAAATGGTCACTCTTAACCCACCTAGGTAGCTTATCGGTCGCGCAGTCTGGAACTCTGACTCCCTTAGCGAACCTCGATATTATGTAGTCTGGCTCGGGGAGCACTTGCACGCCTTCTAATTTAACGGGGACCTTAAATTCAGGGGACGGAGCCGGCTTACTAGCGCTCCGGTTTGTTCGTCTCCCCCGCGCGACGGGTGCCTGGCTACTAGCAGGTGGGTGGCCCTTGGCGCGTGCGGCCAGCCTAGTTTGCGTCATGGTGCAGAGGCGGATTTAAGACCAACAATGGAGATGAGTATGCTATGCTACGAATCATGGGTGAATGAAAAGTAAGAGGAACAATGGTGGCCGCTTAAAAGGCCGCCAATACTCTAGGCTCACGAGATGGTGGTAATGTGCTCACGAGACGTTGACGTCGGGGAAGCCGAGGAGAAGTAATGACGAAGGAAGGACAGACTGTTGCATTGTGGATGCAACGGTGCTTAACCCGCCCAGTGAAGTCCAAGGTGGCACGCTGTTATTGACTGGAACCCTGACATTGAGGGTTCTCGAACATCACGCGAGGCAACTTCATGCACGCGTCTTGTGCAAGATATTTCCGTGGCAATTTCATCATTGCCACCGTTGCTTGCTCAGCTGAGGTGGACAGCGCATAGATAAAGACGAAGTTGTAATGATGTGTGCAACCTTACCAAAAAAAAGTGCGCCTGACCACGACATCACTGAAAGTGTACTAAAGTCATTTTTAATGGGGAAAACTGACCGCGGGAATCGGGCGCGGTCGCGTGGGGGGGGTATTGGGAAAACCACTGCCCGTTGGAATTGGAGACGAGCAAGCACCGCGGTTCGTCATTTCCTCTAGTGCTTCCCTCTTCCCCCTACCCCCCACGCGCTTCAGCCTCCCAAGACCCGAATTCCCTCGCTCCTCCCCACTACCTCGAATTCCCTCCCGCCCCGCCACAATCTCCTAAATCAGCACTCGTGCCCCTTCCCCCCCTGTCCGTCTCGTACGTAGCCCAAGCCCCCCACTCCACTGTCTCTCGCAGGCCAACACCTGCCCCACTGCCCCATTCCCGCTCTCGCGCGTCGCAGCCCAAACCTGTTTAGGTTGTGTCGCTCTATCTGATACAAGTAAAACAGTACACAATTCAAATTTGAAAAAACAAAAACAGACCACTATTATTTCATCTGAAATTTCAGACATGGCTTTTTCCTTCGTCTTAAAAACCAGACCAGAAAAAATTCACCGTCTGAACGTCAGACGAAACCTTTTTTTGGTATATACTTTTCACACGGGCTTAAATCCTAGCAAGAGCCCTGATTCAATTTGCACAATCTGATTTAGCTAACACACTTGTCTAACATGATCACGCTTGTTTTGTTAATGAACGCGCCCCTGGCGCGGTGCTGATAGATCGCTAGCTGACAGACAGCTGTGTGGCTATTAAGGGGCACGCACATGACAATGAGGGGCTGCGACGCGAGGGATCAGGGTGGGTGGAGGTGGAGGGACACGAAGGGAAGGGGGGGCTGGGCTGCGAGACATTACGAAGGGCATGAAAGCGGGCTAGGCTGGGAGCGAGACCGGGAGAGACCTCAGGTTGGGGAAAGGGGGAGAAGGGTTGGACAGGACTAGGCCTGGAAGAGGAGTGAGGGCATAGAAGGGGGGGCTGAGCTGGTAGAGTAGCGAGAGATCGGGGGGGAAAGGGAGGGTTGGGGGAGGGGGATCGGTATCAGACAAAAAACAACTCGTTCTTTGAAATTTCAGACTAAGTAAAGAGCTTGCTCTGAAATATCAGATGAACTAAAATCAGTCATCTTACGGATCAGACGAAATAAAAAACATCGTCTTAGAGATCAGATGAAAGCGAAAATCTACGTCTGAAAATCAGACCATCAGACCAATTTGGTCTGATAACGAGAGCCCTGATTCCCTGCCTGCGTAGTGTCAGATTATTATAGCTGATGCATGTTTGTAGGCTATAGTGGGGTAGCACATATGGGGTACAGTTTGCTAGGGTTGTATTTGTACCCAACTCTGACTTAGTCAATTCATTTCCTGTTCAGTTAGTTTCACATGGTATAGAGCGGGTCCCTCCTAAGGACCGTTCTTTGGGCCCACCCACGATTTTTTTTTCCTGCCCGGAGCGCGCCCTATTCTCCCCGAGGCGCGCTCCCCCTAGTGCGCGTCGAGCTGCCCTTGTGGCGCCCCGAGAGTCGCGCGCGCGACTCATTTTTTTTTCGCGCGCGCGGTTCAGGCCCCACTTCGCGCGGCCCTTACAGCCGCGCCGCGCCGCCCTCTCGGCTCTGCCGCGCCGCGCCGCCCTCAAGACGGCCGCGCGGCCTCTTCGTCGCTGCAGCAGGCCCCCCCCCCCCCCGCTGCACCTCTGTCGGCCCCGCAGCCGCCTTACCTGACGGCCGCCGCCTCACCTGACGGCCCGCCGCCTCGACTTCTGGCCCGCCACCTCACCAGACGGCCCCCCCGCCTCACCTGACGGCCCACCGTCTCACCTGCTGGCCCGCCACCTTACCTGACGGCCCCGCCGCCTCACCTGACGGCCCGCCGCCACCTTACCTGACGGCCCCGCCGCCTCACCTGACGGCCCGCCGCCTCACCTACTGGCCCGCCACCTGACTTGACGGCCCCGCCGCCTCACCTGACGGCCCGCCGCCTAACCTGCTGGCCCGCCACCTCACCTGAAGGCCCGCCGCCTCACCCGCTGGCCCGCCACCTGACCTGACGGCCCCGCCGCCTCACCTGCTGGCCCGCCACCTGACCTGACGGCCCCGCCGCCTCACCTGACGGCTCGCCACCTCGCCTGCTGGCCCGCCACCTGACGGCTCCGCCGTCCCCTGTCCCGGCCCCGCCGCTGCACCCTGACGGCCCCGCCGTCCCCTGTCCCGGCCCCGCAGCTGCACCCTGACGGCCCCGCCGAGCCGCCCAGCAGCAGCCGAGCCGCCCAGCCGCAGCCGAGCCGCCCAGCGGCAGCCGAGCCGCCCAGCAGCAGCCGAGCCGCCCAGCAGCAGCCGAACCGCCGAGCAGCAGCCGAGCCGCCCGGTACCCGAGACGCCCGAGCCGCCCGAGCCGCCCGAGCTGCCCGAGCAGCCCGAGCCGCCTGCTGCTGACCTACCCGACTCTCCCATCCTGGTGAGCCTTTCAGCTGCTGCCATGGCCACCCCCAATGTTCTCACTTTTGACGCTGAGGGGAGGGCCATTGACTTTGCCGTCTGGATCGAGGACCTGCAGCTGTACTTACTGTGTGATGCGGTAGATGAGGTCTCTCTCTTTGACTTTGTCTCTGGCGCTGTCCCTGCCCCGCCTGCTGATGCTGACTCTGCCGTTCGCTCCAAGTGGGCGACCCGCGATGCTGCTGCACGTCTTGCTGTGCGTCGCCACCTCCCTTCCTCTGAGCGTGCCCACTTTAGT